CCTCCTGCCTCGAGTGTGGCATTCGGCCCGATGGACGGATGCCCAACAGCGGAGATGGTTGCAAAGGAGGTTCAGTATCCTGCTTGGGTTGTCCGCTGCTACGACAATGGGAAGTACAGCAGGCTATCCTTGCGCATAGGGTGCTGCCAGCCGTTTTGGTTAGGAGGGGAAGCCATCACAAGTGAGGTGGTGACTACAGGTACCACCGTTGCCGCCGTAGCTGTAGAGTGCCCGTTTCCTGGACGGTTAGTTTGACTGCTTTCGTGGTAGCGCACGGAGCAGTTCTTTGTTCCTGGACAAGCCGGGTTAAAGGTTCTGCCTTCTTAGGTTTCCTCGTTTAGGATTTTGTATGTGGGTGGAGACGGTTTTTATCCAGCCGGTTACATCTCCTCCACCTTGGGTTTCCATTGATAGATTTCTGCGCCGCACCTCCGTATGGCAGGTTCGAGTGCATACTATCGTGGTGCCCATGTTCCAGAATTCGTTCGCTTTTGTTTGCATTAGGCACGTCGTTCCGACATTGAGCCTTTCCGAAGAAAAGAATACATATATATATATATACATATATATATATTATTATATAATATAATATAATATAATATTATATTATATTAGATTAGATTATATTATATTATATTATATTATATTATATTATATGATATTATATTATATTATATTATATTATATTATATCATATGATATTATATCATATGATATTATATCATATTATATTATATTATATGATATGATATTATATTATATTATATGATATTATATTATATTATATTATATTATATTATATTATATTATATTATATTATATTACATTATATTATAATATATTATATTATATTATCTATAGTATGTATAATATATAGCTTTTTGAAAGATATAAATATATAATCTATGATTATGGGCGCTGCTTACGCTAGTTATAGGCGCTTCTGAGGCGATGCTGAGACGAGGCGGGGCAGTCACTCTCGCTCTCCTCCTCGGTGACCTTCGGGGCCTTGTTCTGCACGAACTCCAGGTCGCTGCCTCTGAGCAGCCAGGCCCAAATGCAGCTCCCTTTTGAATGACAGAGAGGCCCAGGGGCCTGTGCCCAAGGATGGGTACTTGGCCAGCGCCTCCAAGGTGTCTTCGGAGGTCGAGAAGGAGTTCATCAGCATGAACTTCACCTCAGCTCGCGACATGGTGGTGTCTGGTGTGTGGTGTGTGCTGGCCTTGGCAGGACGTGATCACGTTCGTGATCCAAAAGGTGGGGATGTCTTGATGTGATGGTGCCATGAGGACGCGGAGTTGCCCAAATTCGGAGACAACACTAACACCAGAAACTTGGCAATATGGCTACAGAGACGACGATGAGCTTGGTATAGCACTGGAAACAGTGCTCTTGTCACCGTGCCCTGCGTTGGAAAGTGTTCTTCTGTTCCTACTTGCGGTCCCAGGAACATTCGTGCCGAATCCATCCTGCACACTGCCGGGAAAGTCAGCTTTTGTCCATGGCCGCTGTTGGAATTTCTTTCAGGAAACATCAGCAACAGTCAGACTTAAGTTTCTTGTGCTTTTCAGGACGCTCAACCCTGCCTTCATGGACTCCACCTGCTGGGCGATGAGGTCCTGCTGAGCTTCGCAGGAGAGTCGGATGTATGTATACATGCCTGCATGCATGTGTATGCCTAGGGTCGCCTGTTAGCTTAGATCGTAGGCAGTTCATCCGCTCCTCCACATACACTCGATGATACCGTGTGCACATAACATAGTCGTTCACAGTCGTGGATACACATATGCATGCTTACAAGGCTTACACATCTGATTACTTGCTTGTTCAAACTTATGAAATGACATATGCCGAGCCCACTCCAGAAAGGTGAGGCCCTGCTTCACCGGCAGCAGAGACTTTGCTTTCTCCAAGCCCATGCCGGTGCCCAGGCCACCATTCAGCTTCAGGACCACCTCGGCAAAACGGGGCGCTCAGGGTGCAGACTTGATTGCAGAACGATCTCGAAATTACACTAAGGGGGCTCTTTGGGAGCTCGAGGGACATTTCAACACTCAGCAGAGCCTTCTCCGGTCGATAGATGCTAAAATCAAGAGTCCCTTTCCCTCCTGCCGCCGAGGTGCCGTCCGCCTCACAATAAAAGGGGTCCAAACCTAAACCCCACGACGTGGCTTTTTCCGACAAAAAGCACATGGTGTGTGTTTTTATCCCGGGCCTCAGCAGCGAGGAGTCCTCGGTAACGTTCAAGGACTCGTAGCTGGGGAGGGAGTCCACGGGGCTGATGGAGCTCTCCGGGATCATTGTGTCTTGACCAGACGTCAGAACGGAGTAGTTGTACTTGAAGGCAGCAATCGCTGCATCGTTGAGGCCTTCCTTCTTCATCTTGGCTTCGTAAAGGGGCCACAACTCCCCCATCTTGCCTCCACCACCCGTCGCGGCCGTCGCGGACGGCATGGATGCCTTGGTCACAATCGGTTGCGCCACAAGTGGCTGAGTAGTGGTTCCGGTCATGGTTGGGGTGACGCCGATGCTGGTGGCTGGCGCCAAAAGAGGGGCGGCATAAACCGCTCGCAGGCTCTGTGGGGCTACCGACGTGGGTGTAGCAGTGGCTACTCGAGGAGGCAGTGCCGTGGGCAGTGCCGGCTGCGCTGCCGGCAGGGCTGTGGCTAGGGCCGCGGGCTGCGCTGCGGGCTGCGCTGCGGGCGCTGCCGCGGTGCCCGGCACAACTCCATAGTGGGACGTCAAGGTCCCGTCGGGATGCTTGATGTAGTACTTCTGCATCGCAAAAATTCCAGCTGGCAAAATCTTGAGCCGATATGCTCTGCAACACACACACACGCAGAGGGACTGGGCTGCAACGTTGCCAAGCAGAGTCCCTCAGGCCTGCTTGAAACGCTCGCCGTGCCTGCGAAGAAGCGATGCCCTTTCTCTCCGAAAGGAGAGACGAAAGAAGAGCAGTGAACTTCTTTCTGACATTCGGTTTCGAGTGAAGAAGGCTCAGGCAAAAATGCGAAGAGTGTCGAGAGAGGGCCTCTGAGACTGAATGTGGACTTATTCTTTAAACCAGGATCCAATCGATCTCCGGCTCCAGACTTCGAAAGCTTCCGGGAGGTATACGCTTTCTGAGGTAATCACGGAACGCTTTGTAGAGACTGGAGCGATGACGCACGGCGCAAGCTCTGCCGCGCTTCCTGTGCCAAGAGACCCCCAAAAGACTCAAACCTGCGTCATCCTGCGCCGTTGACTTAGCTTCCGAACTTCGGATCCCCCCCCAAACAAAAGAGAAAGGCGGCGGCCTCCTTTGATTGCTCAACTCTCAGGTCTCAGCTGTCTCAGAGCTCCCGTTTGGGAGTCTTCGAGATCTCGGGCCCAGCTAAAGAAGGCGGCAACACGCAGGGCAGGGGGGCCAGCTTTGCCCCCAGACCAAAAACAAGGAAGGAGCGGCCCTCTCTTTGGGGGGCGCATGCGGGCCCCTCGGCCTCAGGGGCCGCTCGCGGCGGAAGAGGCGGCGCCCTTGGACACGTGTGAACGCCTTCCCTTGGGCACCGCCACCGCCGTGGTGTCCTGCAGTGTCCAGGGCAGCACGCGCGCACCTTCGCGCATTCACGAAGGCCCTCGACAGATCCGTGCGGCTGCCGTCCTTCGACAGCACGACATCCAAGACCTCGCAGCACAGCGGCGCTCTGAGCGGAGCGCTGGCCGCGGAGCGGGCCGGGGCCCCCGGCATCCTCGTTGTACTCCTCGATCCGCTGCTGCGACACGGACTTGGAAGAGAGGAAGGCCTCGATCGCGAACTTGAAGATGCCCACGGCCTCCGGCACCCCTTCTCCCCCCCCAAAAAAAGCAAGCACAGAGGGAGAGGGAGACCCATCTTTGCCGGTCTCCGTTTCACAGCTACTCGGAATGCATTGATGGATGCGATGTTGATGATGTGTCCGCCGTTGCTCTTGCCTAGACATCCGTTTGTTGTCCATGCAAGGGGTTCCCGAACTTTGCAACTGTGTAACGAGCATGCAGCTATATGCACCTTCTGCGTCTGGCTTGAACCGGCACTTGGAATCTTGGGCCCCGACGCGCTCGGCTATGATGAAAGTCAGGAGCATCTGGAGTTGATCCGCATGCTCGACGTGGAAGATGAAGATAGCCTGCATTATTTCTCCGATACGGCTCGCACCAGCTGTGGCCTATCGTGTGTGATGGTTAGAGGACAGGGATGTATGAACAAATGTAGTAGCTTAGTAGCAGCTAGTAATTGTAGCAGTCAGCATCATATGTTCGTCGTCGTAATTTTTGAAGCCGTCGCCGTCGTCGTCGTGGTGGCGGTGGCTGGTCGAGTGGTCCGTGGTGATGGCAGTGGGTCTGCTCGCGGTGGTGGCAGTGGCAGTAGCAGAGTAGTCCGTCGAAGATTGGTGATGGGTGTGTTTCTTTTGTCCAGAAGCCAAGCGCCGAGGCAGTGATGATGCGATTCGACTCAGATCTCAACTGGATGCCAAGGAGCTATGTAGCACGTGATTGTAACGCCCATGTAGGCCACGAAGTTCAAGATGCCAATCCAGGACCCGATGCCTTCCTTGCATGGGACGGGTTTAGAGCGGTTTCGGGCGACTGGCCTTTGACTCCGCGCTTGCCTGGGAGCGGGGGATCACCCTTTGCTGAACGTAGCAGAACTTGTAGCCGGCCAGCCTGCACCAAAAAAGCAGCAAAGCGCGGTAACAGCCAAAGCATCCAAGTAAGCAGGGAGCGAGGGAGCGAGGGAGCGAGAGAGGGCGAGAGGCCTCTTCAAAGGGAAGCTGGCCAAGAAGCAGAGGATGCACATGGGGGGCATCGTCACTCCAAACCTCAGCGCGACGGAAGCTGCAAGGAGAGGGGAGGCTTCAAGCGGTGCTGTTCGAAGCGTCGGGCATGGCAATAAAGCCGAAGTTGAACACGACCTCGGCTGGGAAGCGGGGAGGATTTGGGGGTCAAGAAGGCTCACCGAAAACCCCAAGGCACGTCCATGTAGTCGGCGACCTCATCCGTCACCGTGTAAGGAGTCCCCAGCGCCTCTGAAGGCTTCGGAAAATGCGGTGGAGGGGGGGATACGTGCGGGAGGCCCTCCAAAAAGTGGCGCGCCTGGAACTCCAGGTAGCTCAGGTGCTGCCGGCCTCAGGGAAAGCTGGGAGCAGCTGAGCAGAGAGCCTAGTCTTAGAGCTCCCCTTCCCCCCCCCCTGGCGCCTTCGCTCTTCCGGGAGATCTCCGCTTTGATGGTCCGGTACATCATGGCGATGGACACCGCGACCTCCACCACCTCGGAGATCACCTGAGCAGACGCCGTAGCGGCGCTGGAAGGCGCAGACAACCAAGAAGGGCTCCGCTTCGGCGCCTGGGTGATGAAGAAGACGCCCAGGTCGGAGCGCACTTGCTGAAGACAGCCTGCGCAGAACGGACGTCCCCGTGAGCCCGAAATTTCTCCCTCTCTTGGCCCTTGGGGCCTTGCAGCGGATGATCCTCCCGGCCCTTCACCACCTCGCAACCGTCCACGACGGGCTGGATGAAGAGGGTGTAGACGAAGGGGTAGTAGAAGACAACGAACTTCACCGCGAAGATCTTCAGAGTCATCGCCGACTTCAGCTCAGCGTCGGTACCTCAGAGGATTTGCGATCCGACACTCCCAGGTATAGCAGAAGCTAGAATCGGCCCCACTCTCGGACAAGGCAAGAGACGCCAGTTCTCGCGTCCGCTCAACCAAGGAGAAAGAGACATCCACGCGAAATCCACAACCTTGATGTTCACTGTGACAAGATACCTCAGGCACCGACCTATATGCATACAGTGGTTCATACAACTGGTGCATGTGAGACAAAATCCCTACAAGGGCTGAGGGACTTCGCAGCCAGCACGAAGATGGTGTTCGGGATTCCCATCGTAGACTCTTCCGGATTATCCCTGGCCACGCTTCGCGCTTCCGTCAAATAGGCGACGGCCCCGATCGTCTCCGCGATGAAGAGGACGCACAAGACCCAGTGGAACAGGTTTTGCAGCGTCTCCCGGCAGGTGCCGCGGAGCTCATCGCGGAAACTCTTGCGGACCTGTGCGCGCGTCCGAGGAAGGGAGAGCGGCTACCTGCAGCGACCCCTTCGGTTTCAGATTCCAGCCGAGCGGCTTGAGCCACTTCCGCACTTGCGCCCTGCATGCCCCAGCTCAAGGTCTTGAAGTCCATGTCTTGCTTGTAGCTTGCCTGGGTTAGCCAATTGTGGAGAGCTTCTAGCATGGCTATAGATCCGATTTCGCGAAATCGATTCTTGCCCTTTTTCTAAAGTGGATTGTGGGGAGTCTCCCTTGGCTCAGAAGGGAGGGCCGGGAGGGCCGGGCTGCCAGGAAGGCCGTCGTCCACAAGCAGAGCCCGGCCCCGAAGGCGCTGTTCATCAGGTGGATCTGCCGGGATCTGCCGCTTCGACTGCGAAGCACGCGCGTCGCTCTCTTGAAGTTTTTTTCCTGGCCTGGTACAGGCTCAGGACGTCGATGTGGCGTATGATCACGACGACGACACTCAGAATCGCTGGGATCGACAGCCACCTGAGCTGGGAAAGGGGGTCTCTTGTAGAGCGCCGTGGCTTTCGTAGCGATCTATACTACTCTACCAGTTTACACAAGCCATTGAAGACGTTGCTCTGCTAAGCCGAGGCTCTTTATGAATGAGTTGTAAAAATGGAAGAAGTAGGCCACTTGCATGCCAAAGTAGGTTGCAAGGTAGTCTGGCATTTGGGCGCCGGGCCATTGATAGAACTTCAGCGGGTTGCTCCAACCGCGGGCATAAAGCTCCTGAACTTTCTCCCAATCGTGCGCAGCGAAGAACTTGGTGATGACTTCCGCCTCAACGGTAGCTGACACGAACCATGCTCACAGAATCACAGAACATTGGAGATTTTTTGAGAGGTCTCAGACGAGTATAGGGACTTCTACAACTTCAGCAGAAACCCCTCTCGGGCCCCTCGTTTCCCTCTTAGCCTGCTCCAGCGCTGGGAGGCTGAGGTGCTGCGTGATGGTCCTTCGGGCGACCCGGAGCTTGTCAGGTTCGCTGAGATCCTCGAGCTTCTCCTTGATGTCCTCCGCGTAGCGCACCTGAAGAAGAAACAAAAAAGAACATCAGGGGGGTGGGTCCCTAAATTTTTGTGTGTGTGTGTGTGTATGTATGTGTATGTATGCTTTTTGTCCTTGCGCGAAAGAGGGAGGCATGCTCGTGGGCTTCTACTTCGCGCATGCATCTTGCAGATAGAGATGACAAGTTTTGCATCTCATGGCCTGCAATCGTCGTGCTGAGGGCCAAAAGACGAAGCTTTTGACTTCTTGGATCTAGGACGTGTTACCGACGGGATGACTTCAAGTTGCAGGACTGCCGCAGTCCCCTGTTCTGCGCAAGCGTTGGTTGGTCGACTCCTCCCGAAACGAAAGGCAGCATGACTGGCTACTGCCAACTGCAACTGGGTAGCGAAGGCCGTGCATGTGTTGTCGATGGTCGCGCCATTGAGGTGGCGCTCTCCGAAATTGACATGGACAAAGTCAAAGTCCTTGTAAGGCATGGAAGCTCCGTGACACATCTCCGGGTGGAAGGCAGAGCGCCCGATGCCCCCCGCCTTGCCCTTGCGCATCTTCTGGTCAGTGGGGACCTTCTTCTTGGCGTTCCTGTAGGCCTCCGGCTTCACCCTGGCTCGGGCCTCCAAAGCAAAGCGAGAGGTCATGGGTTGCTAGCTCCGGGTATGCTCCGGGCACCTCGTGCTTCGCCGCGAGGATGCTGAAAGTCTTGGGGTCCTCGATCGCTATGGTGACGAAGTGCTCGTCGCCATCCACAGAGAAGAAGTCCACAATGTTGCAGCCATCACCTACAAAAGGGAGCTCTAGCTGTGTGGTTTGGATTTTTTGACTGACGGCTCTTGACCGCCTTCCAAGACATCAATCACGCCATCCTTCACCGCCGCGATGAAGTCCTGGTCGGGTGATGAGCACGCCACCGTTTAACTCGCCACGAGAAAAAAAGAGGCGGTACAGGCAGTGCGTCAGCAGTCCTGCTTGGAGATGCCATCCTTGACAAGGGCGGGCTTCTCACGTCCATGGAAGATGGCCTGCAACGGAGAAGACCAGTGCTACCACCGGGCCATCGGCTTACAGAGCCAAAGAGCTTCACGCAGAGACCTTAAAAGGGAACTTAGACAAGAAACGGTCAAGAAAAAGGCGCCTCCCAGGCCGCACTCGGCTCTTCCACGGGCTCCCGATAGCTTTGCTTCACGGAGTCATCATGGCCTCGGCTTCTTCGAAGGGGCCTTTGCTGGGCCAACTGGGCCAGTGCCATGGCCGAGTGGCTGCCTTCGGGATACGGGAAGACCATGACAAACTGGGTAGGCCTGGGAGAAAGAAAGCAGAGGAAGCCCTGAAAAAAGGAGAATCCGATCGTCTAAGCTGGAAGTGAGTTGGGCGAGAGATTGCACATCGCCCGCCGAGATCCGTCGAGACGCGGGAAATCCAACTGAATGGGGCTTCCCATGACCGTGCCCGTAGTTTTGGCAACACCAGCATCCTTGCATGTTGGATGGCATCTCCAATTTATAGTAGCTCAAGACTCAGTATTGCGCCTGCATGAGGGCAGCCCTCTCATCATGCTCCGACGACAGCGACAGATCGCCGGTCTTGCCCTCTTTGGACGCTACTTTGGCCATCCTGGCAACAGCCTGCGTCGCCTTGAGCCACTGGGCTGTCGCTGAGATCCGAATGCTCGAGGGCTGCTCAGGCAGGTTCAGGGACGCTCAACCCGAAACCCATGGCCCATGCCTGAGCCCTCAACCCTCGGAGCCAAACCCCGTAAGCCGGTAACCCTAAGTAGCCCAAAAAACCTTAGCCAAGCACGGTGACACTACGGTGACAGCAAAGAAGATAGTGAGCATACGGGCAGCAAGAGTTGCCCGAGCAACACAGGCGATGGTACAGTCATAAGCACCACTGTAGGCCGCGACAACATCGCGCAGGTAATGACTGTAAAGAACAGCGGGCCTGGTCTCAGAGCCGATCTCGAGCAGCTGGCAGAAGGGGATGCGCGACGAGAGCTTTGGCCTCTGGCTCTTGGATTCCCTCGCCAAGTTTCGCAATGGGGTAGGCACCGACTTGCCAACGCTGACCGTGATCACTGCGAAGCTACTCACTTTGGACAACTGCACACGGACATACTACGGCAACACGCTGCCGAACATCACCCTGCCGACTCAGATGGAAGTGCTGGCACTGGCAGGCGCATGTTCTCGCAAACAGGCGAAGGTGCCAAGCCAAGGTACCCCAAAGACAAAGACGGACATGCTTCCCTCTGATGTGGGGTCGGAGGCTCCGACTTTTTGGAGCCAACTCTTTCAGCGCCTAGTAGCCTAGGAGACGATCGACACCCCGTGGAGGAAGCCCTTTCCGTAGAATTGCCAGGCGAATCGCGAAACTTCCGGTGAAGCCGTAAACCTGTCGCTTTCAACGCAAATCCAGGAGGCACCTGCTTGTCACGGGACTGGGTCTGAATCGCAGTGGCCGCCAAGTGCCGCCTTCCAGGATGGCCGGTAATCATCTGGTGGTATCTGGCTCCCAGCCTCCCTCCCCTGGCTTGTGACCTGTGATAAACCCCTGGGCCTCGGCTAATGACTCAACGTGCCGCGCAGCTCTTCGCAGTTAACATCTGCCCGTTGTAGCAAGCCACGGCCCGTTTCGAGCTGCCACCTGGCTGTCGGGCAGGTGCGAGGACACCAATTGCTTCCAGCATGACTCCTACTGACTCCTTTCAAGCATCCCTTGTTATGCTTTCTTAGGCGGAAGGTCAGCATTTGACCGACGCAGTCCTTCGGATTCTGTACAGCTGAACAAACGTAGATGTCACAATCTGAACCTACTTCTGAACCTTCTACCGGCCGACACCTCAGACCCAAGCCCCAAACTTCCTTTAAGGCTTCATTCTCCAGACTGCTCGAGTTTGCTGGGGCGCGTGCACCCCCAAAGCAGACTCATCGGTGGCGACCACGTTGCTACTCTTGCCGCCTGGGCAGCTTTCTAACTTCAGCTTCTGCGCTTGCTCAGAAATCTCTTCAACCTCTTATTATGGCGACTGTCCGCCAGGATCGTTAGGTGCAAATTGATGGGAGACCTTTGCGGCTCTTCATGCTGTTACGGCGACTGCCCGCCGGGATCCACGAATTTGGTGCAAGCGATTTTTGTTTGGAAGGTTTAGTCTTGAAGGAAGTTTGGGGTATGCTGTCCGCCCGGAACAAGCCGCTGCCATGCTCTAGGTCATCAAGTCATGAGTCTGAGAACACTAGCTGGAAACTTGCTTTCTTTAGGCTGTTGTTGGTGCTGAGCACGGCAAGCAGCTTCGCTCGATTGTCGCTCAAGAAAGCCGATCAATCACACGTGACCGCACGCCACAGAAGCACCTACGAGGTCCTGCTGAAAATTTTCAATTCTTCATCGTCGCTGGCCCTTCTCGCTGCAAGCCTAGTCCTGTGGCCCTGAAACCCCCGGGGTCTTCGCTGACGAAGAGACTTAGCGGAATGCTTCAGAGCTGTGAATCCATAAGGGTCGAGTTGTCAAGGTCGTCTGTGGGCACCTCTGTGTCAATCTGAGGTACGAGTAACACGGCAGCAAGACGTCATTCATGCGAATCGCATCCGGAGCTGACATCGACTACAGGGGATGCTATGTCGCTATGCTCGAGCATCGGCCTGGCTGCACAGACATCACAACAGCACAATTGTTGAGGCGGTCATGTTCTTTCTTTTCGAGCATCGCTGCATCGAGCCCCTTTTCTCTGACGGCGGCGTCTGGAACAAAGTCCGGTCGCTACCGGATCTCCGAAAGCTTCAGAGATTGGCGCATCATTCAAGCAACAACTCTTGGCTTTTCTCTCACACTGAGGAGGACCAAGCTCCAGTAAGCTTTCCCTACCGGAGTTAAACGAAAGTGTCAGGGGCCACCAAACCTGAAAAGCACGGTCAAAGGCCCCCCTCACATCGGTGAACTACGTCTGCTGCGTGGAATCTGAGACCGAAGCTTCATGAGCATGCCTTGTAGCCACTGCGCACTCTGCAGCAGCTTTGGATCCTGGCTCCTGCAAGTGCGGTCTGCGCGGACCGCCGCCGAAAGCTCCCAAAAAGCCCGGTTTCTGGGGGCCTCAAAGCTGCCTGAACCAGCTGCACGAGAAACGGGGCTTTGCCCACGTAGGCCGTCAGCTCGGTTTGGAAGACGAGGACCAAGTCGCCCACCACTCCCACCGCCGCCTCAGACGCACGCAACTCACCCCCACTGCCCCCCGTCGAATCCGAACAAAAACACAGCCACACCCTTGCCTTGATCACGGGCAGCTGCCTCGGTGCGCAGCAACGGAGCCCCGCGAAGTCTCCCAGCACGCACGGCCCGGGCGTCGTCGGATCCTCGCTGATCTCTTTGACGAGCATCAGCACCGTGTTGACGTGCTCCTGCGCGAGACGTCGAGTCGCAAGCTGCTTCCAGCGAAGTGTCGTGACGCTGTTCTATCGCCCTCATGAGTCATCCTCATCACATCCACATCATCATCATCATCACCAGTCCGACTGTTACTACGCGTGGGAGATTCGGGAAATCGCTTGCGACGATCGCAGCGGCTGTGATGGGCTCGTCGTCGCAACGATCTAACTCTTGCAAATCTTGTGGCCAAACAAGTATCTTGGCTGTTGTGCCTAATCTGGAACCCTCGTCGGGCACAGACGATGGTAGACACTATCACTAGCAATATCTACCAATTGAAAGAAGGCCCAACCTGTCGGCGAAAAGCGCTCTCAACCGCGAATCTGTTGAAGGGGAACCAGAGCAGTGCATTGCAAGGCACCTTGAAGAGGTGCAGCTTACCTGACTCCTTCAGCCCGTGGATGATTCCGGAGTACCTCGATTTGGTGCCGAGAGCATGAACGCTTGAGCTTCGGCGAGGAGCTGACTGCTGTGATGCTTCCAGTCTCGTTCATTCCCCCATGCCCCAGCGCACGCTTCCAGAACTCCTTCTCGGAGGCTGTTCAAGTACCTGACAAAGAAAGGATAGGATGCCTTAAGCCCGTGCTTAACTGGGGCACTCTCTGGCAGAGCGCACTCGACCCACTCTTCGCTGTCGGCTGGACCATCGGCCAGCCTGCCACCAGGGGCAGGCGCGTCTCTCGCGCCGCAGGGCGCCAGCGCCGGCGGAGAGCCTTGTGGAGGAGGCTTCCCGGAGCATCTGCACCACCGGGCCGAGGTACCTGTCAGAGATTTGCGGAGGCTCTTTTCCGGTCCGCCGGGGTGCTCTCTCCGGGCACTGCTCGAAGTCTCCGGTGATGGCCATGGCAATGTCACCGAAGCTCGTCATCACGGCTGCCTGCAGCTAGGCCCAGCGACAGCGGCTGTGGCTGCTGCACTTTCTGGCCTTGATCTTGCGGTCCACCGCCGGGTTTCGGAGGTTGGTGTACAGGATCTCACGGCGACGGAAGCTAAGGAAGGGTCGCAAAAATCGGGTTGCACCGGGCCTGCAAGATCGTGTCGCAATAGCTGACGATCTTGCCCTCTAGCGCCGTGCACAAGTCTCCGACCATCCGGGTGGTCGTCAGACAAACCTCCCAGGATGATGTGTCATCCGCTGAGACCACAACGCACTCTCTGCATGAGAGCTTAACTACGAAGACAGGGCTGAGATGATGTAAAGGGGGCCTAAGGCCCCTTGAAGCTTCGGCTTTGTTTCCGGGCTGAGCTCTGCATGCCCACTGCCCGTGGTGCGAACCTTCACATCCTGCCTGTTCTCTACCTAATAAGACAGGAACTCTGACAGCAAACTGCGCATCAAACAAGATCCGAGAATCAAACACGCCTCAAATGACAATCGAAAAGTTACTGCAAAAATCGCAGCGCCAGGAACAACCCTAAATACATCAAGCAAGATAACAAGTGACAACCCGAAGACAGACGAGCAATCATAAACAGTCGAAGTGGGGCGGTTCGGAGCGGGTGAGTGTTTATTGGAGTTTCGCCTGATCTCATGCATGTTGAGACTGCTTATTTCTTGTCAGCGACTTGAGAAAACAAGGTATCAAGCGATTTTTTGAGGCGTCAGCGGCATTGAAATTCATAAAGCGTGTCGAGACAAGTTATTTATGACTCTCAAGCTCACAGGTCGTCCGGCACAATGGTTTCTGGCCTGGCCTGGGCCTAGCACTCTAACAAACTCTACCGTAAACCAACGGATCGTCCACCCGAGTACCCAAGTCGCCCAAAGCACAGTAAAGCACTGTATACAGTGAGGAAGTCGGAAAGGAAGTCGGACTTCAAGCACAGCCGTCAAACCGGGACAAAAAGCGCTGCATACAGGCTCATGAGACCGGCTCGGCAGAAAGGGCTTCCCGCTGCGTTGGTGTCGAGCACTCCCTCTTCCAGCATCCAATGCTGGCTCCCGAGCTTCGTCCCCTTCTGAAGAGAGGGGGAGGGGGAGGGGCCCGGGAGGGAGAGGGGGAGGGAGAGGAGACGGTAGCTCGGCCCTCGTTCGTCTTTCGTCCTCTCCACTTTCGTGCCCCCGTGGCTTGGCTTCCGTGCAGCACTAGATACCTGTCTTGCTCTGGCGATGTCCAAACGGGCTTTGGGCAATCTGCCATCTTTGTCGGAGTCTTGAACTGGGCAGTTGCGCACATGGCAAGACAGGACCCGCCTGCACCTCCTCGTAGTTCTGAAGTCCGACCTGCGCAAACCCGAGAGGGAACAAGGGAAAAAAGGGCGCGGCGCAGCTTCGTGGCCTGGAGGTGCGGAGCGAAATGCGGCATGAAGCGCTCCTCGGCCGAGTTTCGCTACATCCACGCCCCAAAACGGCCCTACGCGCGGCGGCCTCGTGCAGCCAAGAAGCGAAGCCCGAGCCGGCCGCATTCGCCAAAGCGACGATGAGAAGCAAAGCCTGATGACAGCGGCTCAGCGCTCAGCGCCGGAGCGGCCAAAAAGGCGCTTTTTCCGGCCAGGCCCAGGCCCGGGCCTCTTCGTGCAGAACCTGCGCACCCCCGCGAACCTCGGGACCCGCCCGTCGTGCCGAGCCGTGACTGCACCCCAAATCACCCATTCCTCCCCTCGCGCCTGCTGATAGGCCGAGATCACCTTCAGCGCCTCCTCCATGATCTGGTTGGCCGCCATAGCCACCTTCTCCCTGTCAAGCAGCGAGCAGCTCCGGTAAGAGACGGGCTCGAGAAGGCCCGCATCGCCACGCGCCTGAGACGTGACACCTGCGAATAGCATCAGCGCCAGCAGGCCGCAAAGAAGGCGACGCGGGCGGAGGCTTCTGAGTCGCCGGCAAGCGAAGTCAGCACCCCACAGATGTAGCCCTGCAACTCGCACTCGCGGTCGATGGACTGGGCGTGGCAGCGCAGAAAACACCGGACCGATCATTGCAGGCCAAATCATCTGCAGAGCCTGAGGCCCTGTCCTTGTAGGATGCTTGCAAGTGCTTCAGCATCTCCTGCAGGCTCAAGGCTTCGACGTCGTTCTTTTCAAGATCCGGTCCCCTATCAGCACCCTATCTCCAGCCGCAGTGTCATCCTCGAGCCTCATTCCTGCTCTTCACTGCTCTCCTCACCCTTATATCCGTCGTCCTCACCTCCATTCGCACATGTCGCCAGCGTCGCCGCTGGCATCGCCGATCCGTGTCTATCCTCACCCGTCGCCACCATCGCCTCGTCGTGCACTGTCCTCGCCACATCTGTCCTCACGCCTGGGCCCCCTTTCTCCTGTCGCTTGCTAGGCACCGACATCCAGAGCATCCCATTGAGAGCACCAGCATCCAAAATCACTAGAACTCATTAGAACTCCATAGAGCAGCAACAGCACGAACAGAGAGAAAGAGGGACAGAGAGAGTCGGCCCTCTCGCTGCCACATCGCCATAGCTTCCCGAACAAGGCCAAGAGAATCCAAAAGCGAAGATGCGAGAAATGCGAGTGACACAGGCAGGCCACCACTTGAAAAGCCTTCTCGATATAGCGCAGCAAGCATGAAATAGCTGCAGGGGAGGCTTGATCAAAGCACGCCTGTTTCGAGCATGGAACCTTTAATGTGGAGGGTATAGAGTGGCGCACAAGGCGGAAGTGGGGGGGGGGGGGTCCTGCCAGCCTACGCGGGCCAAACTGTTAGCAACGGCAACACACTCATGTGTACTTGCATCGAACTGTACGAAAGAGAATGACCACTGTCCACTGTCCATGTCCCTTCACGCAGCATGAAACGTTGGGAGAGCACAGCTCCTGCGTCAAGGCCTGCATGTGGGGCAAGCAGTCGTTGCCTGCCTTGCTGACGAGGACGCTTAGAGCGTTGTACCTGGACGCGAGAAGCAGCACTCTGGCTTCGTGACGACAGCTCCTTCTCTGTGCCGCTGTCCCACTTGATCAAGCGCTATTTGAAGAGCCAGTTGTCGTTGCGAAAATGCTGTGGGCTTCAATGCCCTGGATGAGCCAACCAAGCCGTTTCCGATGGGGACAGTTCGGGTTGCCCTGAAACCCTACTGTCTTGCCTTCTAAATGCTCTGTTGAGGGGGTCTTAAGCTGCCCCGAGCGACAGCGTGGTGAAGGCAGCATGCATTCACACTCCTTTTCTCACGAGGAGATGTGATATCTTGAACAAGGGAAATCGGGCTGCCTGCTCTGGCTCTGGACTCCAAACCAGCGAGCCTATAGACAAGCGAAGGCTGAGCTCTGCACCCCGCCATGCGTAGCTGACGCTCATCCGCATCGGGTCTCGCGACCACCTGACACGCTGCCAGGCCGGGCCGGGTGGGAGTGGGAGGGAATGTAGCAGTACTTTGTGAGCAGATGTCCTCAAGTATGGAGTGGCTCCATCTGCCCCATCTCTCAGCCTCCAGGAGCGCCGTGGCGATCGCGGTGAAAAACTCGGACAACGGAGTCGAGTCGGGGTACTGCGAGCACAAGACAGAGCACGAAGACGGGAGCAGCAGACGTGCTCAACACTGGGCTGATCTCTGCTCTCTGTTCTGCCCTCCTGTCCTGCCCTGCGATGCCCCCGGTCTGCGCCTCAGCAAGAACCTCCAGAAGTCCACGGTTCAACACCAGGGGCATGGTTCTTGTCAGAGCGTTTCTGGCCAGTTCTCCTGGGAGCGAGTCGCATTTTTCGCCACGCTGAGGACCGGCGGACCCAGCGGACCCGGCCGACCCGATTCGATCAGCACGGGACGCCGAGGGAGCCGGGAGCCGGAGCAGTTCGAGCTCGAGCTCGCGGCGCGACCTTCCCCCCCGCCTGCCTGTTGCTGTTTATGTACACTCTCGAGCCTGTTTTAGGCCCGGTTCGACGGAAACTGCGTAATTTTGGCGGAGCTCCCTTTTGGGCTCCAGGTTCTACGGGAGATGACGGGAGGGATCAACGAGCGCCGAAGCCGGCCTGATGACGTCGGAAGTGCAAGCGTGGACGAGAGACAGACAGAGAGAGAGAG